TAAACTGTAATAAATGCTAAAACACATTCTTTATGCAGCAGCCCGTGGTTATGATGAGATAAAGGGGGGACAGAACAGAAGAGAGAGAGCTAGGGATTTCTCATATACTAAGAATCTTCCAGGAGGGGCTGAAAAATATAAATTTCCCAGGTCTTTAAATTAATATCACTTGTCCCAGAAATTAATCACCTACTGCTTTGTTATATTATTAAAAATTATTATGACCGTTAGCTCATGATAGTTTCCTTCATTTTGTACGTACATATTGAGCACCAGCTATTTGCTAGGCATTAATCTGAGCACTGGAGATTCATCATTGAATAACAATAACAAAAATGACAGTCCCTGCTCTGGTGAAGCTTAGAGAATACTTGGAACAGACAACAAATAAAAAAACATAATAAGTTAGATACTGTTTGAAGATGACAAGTGCTATAGGAAAAAAAAAAATGAATAAGGGAAATAGAAAATGTGGTATCTCCGGGAGGGTTATTTTGTGATTTAAACAGGTTAGTTAGGGTAGGCCTCCGAGAGATGACATTAAAGCAAATTCTTGAATGAGGTGAGAGAATGAGCCTTCCAGGCAGAGGGAAGAGTATTTCAGGTAGAGGGACAGCTAATATAAAGCTCTAAAGTGGGAGCACACCTCGGCAGGTCAAGGGACAGCAAAGGCTTAGTGTAACTGGAGCAGACTGAATAAGGTAGTACGGAGCACAACTATTATAAAAATATTTCTTTAAATACAGGTAAAGAAAATACTGTCGTGCTAAACATGGTAGTAGGCATATAATGTTTTCCTAAGTTTATGTCATCACATTAGAATAGGTATAAAATTTCAATGGATATCTTACTGAATTCAAACTACTAATTTTTTTTTCTTCCATGAGCCAACGATGCCTTCGGTGTTCCATTAATCTAGACTTGGGGACAATGAAGTATTCCTTTAAAAAGTGATGTTTTAGGTTACAACCTCAGGGAAATAGCAGTTGGCTTGGTAAAGGTGGTGGGTTATGGGGTTCCAGAAAGAGGAAACACCACATGCAAAGATCCAGAAAACTTGGAAACATCAGGGAGTTGTTTAAGGTTCTTCAAATAGGATGAGGACATGATCAGATTTTCTAAAATCAGGAAGATCCTTCCAACTAATGTAGAGTAGAAAGAGAGCGTCAGAGGGGGGCCAGGTGAAGACAGAGGCCAGTTTTGGGGCTAGTGTGGTAAATCAGGCAAGCAGTGGGGGTAGCCTGACCAGAAGGGTACTAGTTAAGATGGAAAGAAATGGATGGATCCTTAATGTATTTATTAGGTGTAATGAATAGACAGTGAATGAGGAGGTGTAGAGGAAGAGGAGAAAAGGAGAGCTCTCATGTCTCCAGGTTGAGCAAGAGATGGAATGGAGCCATTTGCTAAGACCAGAGAATGAGCCGGTCTAGGGGCAAGAAAGAGAACTGGGAAGGTGCATTCTGTACTCAGTATATACTGTCTGTAAACACCTACATGTTTCCTCTTTATAGCCAACAAATAGTTGTCTATATAGATCTGAGTCTCAGGAAAGACTGAACAGCTAGAAACAGGCAGGTATTTCACTGTAAAAATCAATTTTTATTTTATATATTTTTTAAAGTAAGCTCTACCCCCAGTGGGCTTGAACTCACACCACTGAGATCAGGAGTTGCATGCTCTACCAACTGAGCCAACCAGGCACCTCAAAAAGAAATAAATAAAATGATGCCTTGGCACATGTTAATTTGTACGCTTTGTATACATAATCCAGATTAAGCTATTTTTTTCTTCATGAAAAATAAAACTAAATATATCACATTGCCTACATTACTTTAATTGCTCCTACAGTACGTAAATAAGGTGATTTTAAAATGTAACATGGCAAGAATTTCATGATTTTTATCCAGGAATGTGAAATAATATTAAGTAATAAATAGTGGCTTAATTTAAAACATGTCATTTTGCTTGTCTTTTAACATAACTGTACTCATCTTCATTCTTTCTTTAAGGAAGGTCGTGGTTTTTTGGTTCTATTTAACATTATGTTATCCAGGTTAGGAACAATTACGTGCCAAAGACTGTTTCAAAAGAAAACACAAATGGCAGGCAAACAAAGTCAATGATGAGTAGGAATATATTTATAGTGTCACTCCTTAGATCTGGCTGTTCAAAAAGAGAGGCTTGAATTAACATGTATCTGTGTAAAGAGGGATAAAATGAAAATGCAGCCTGAAGTAGATAGCTGTCCTTATGAATCTGGTTACTTCTTCCAGCACTGTGATGCATATAGTGTATTTGTATGAGTGCCAATTAATCAGCATTATTGTTATAATTTGATTAGCTTATTGCTGAGTTAGCAAATGTCCTAAGAGGGGCAATGTCTCCAAAGTTTAAAATCTCCCGTACTTGGAGAAGCAACTATAATGGTTTAAAAATTATGGATTTTGGACTCTGTGACACAGTTTTCTTGTCAAATGGAGATATTAATACATAACATGAGGTGTTGTAGTAAGAATGAAATGAAAGCCTTGCCAAAGAACCTAGCATAAGAATCTAGGACTAAATCTTAATAACTGGAAGAGAATCTTAGTGTCTGAGAAGGACCTGGAAGTGATGGAGCCTACTCATGGTATGATTAAGGGATAGCAAATGGGGATCTGATGGAGTCTGATTAAAAGCACAGTTTGAAGAAAATTAAAACTGGATCAAACATTACGCCCCACTGAAATGAAACTTCTCAGAAAAAGGTATTCACGATTGGGGCGGATGTTGGATAAGGGTTAAGATAAGACCTTCTGACTAGGTGTTGTAGTTAGTTTGTCTCTGACCCATCGGGGCAGGTCTGTGGGGGAAGAATCGAATTTGACTGTCACCTTCAAGCAAAAAGAAGGCAAGTATTATAGGTCTCCTTTGCGGCTCTGGGGAAAGCTGAAGTCAAGGTCAGGGATCTGTGAATACAGTGTCAGGAATATGAGTGGCAAAGCCAGTAGTAGAAGTCCTAGCAAAGGGTAGAGTCAGTCCACTTCAAAGAAAAGCCAGATACTCTGTGATGACATTCTTTTGAAATGTGTTTGCATTTGAGTACCATTTTTAAATCATGAGTAAAAAAACGTGTGTATGTGTGTGTGTGTATGTGTGTGTGTGTGTGTGTGTGTAAATGTTTTAACAGTAGCTAAGGGCTTATCACAAAAGAGTTTTGGATTATTAATTTTCCTATTATACCACAGTGCTGGTTTACTGAAACCCTAACTAAAATTCATATATTTTGTGTACTCATTTATGGGTACAATGCCACTTATGTAAAAAAGAGTTTTATTCTATTTATAGATCAAATTGTAGTGAAAGCAAGAGCAAATACGTTTGTGCATAACAATCATGGAACACTACATCAAAAACTAATGATGTAATGTATGGTGATTAACATAACAATAAAAAATTTAAAAAAAAAGAGCAAATATGTTTGGTGTCTTTTTCTTGTTTTCCGAAAATGAAAAAAAAAATTTATAAGGGAACCTGACATAAGGATGGAAATAAAAGAATTTCAAATATTTTAATAGTATCTCTATAGGAAAAGAAGTTTGGATTGTTGCCTAATGAAGCTACTTTCTACTAGAATCCTACAATGAAACATAGGAGATGCCTCCAACTTGCCCTTGCTTCCTCTCACCATTAATCCAAGGGATTGCTGGATATTCTTGCCTCTTCCTTTAATTTCACTACTCTTTTTAGTTTTACCTTTTGCAACCACTCTCCCGTATTGTCATTATTGCAAAGGATAACAAATATTAGGCTACTCTAATTGTCCCCATGGCTCTAACACTTCCCAAGGTATTTCCAGCTCAGAGAAACAAACACTCACATTGTAGCTTTTCACAGAAAAGGTAGAATAGGAATGACTGTTATTAACCTCTGTAGAACATAGTATGTCTCAGTTCCTTGCGAGTTCTTCCTGTGAGACTTGACTGGGTTTTCAGAAACCCAGCGGGTCTTCCGACAATCCCCTGTGCTGACCAGATGTATCTGTCTCTTGATGCTACAATATAAAACTCTATTTTTTCCTTACAGACGAAGATCATCTATCATGACAATGCACTTTCATGAATGCAATTTAAGTTTATTAAGCACAACTGCTTTATGTCTGGGTTCACAGGCATACTGTGTCTTTCAGGCAGAGGAAAATATAAAACTTCTCACAGGGAGATTAATTCTATTATTAGATGATCTGTTTTTCCTGTTAACTGCATAACTATGAAGTCCGTAACACCAGAAACTAGGGAAGAGTTTGCAGGATGCTGATTCAAAGATTTAAATAGTTAATAATGAAAGATACCTTTAATAAAATATTATTGATATTCTTTCCAACTCCAGAGACAAAATTTCTAAAATCACTTGGACATCTGGTAAAGTTACAGTAAAATTATCACTGACATTCTTGGAGATATGGGAATATGTATTCTTCAGGGCTATAAAGGTTTTAACTGGGATGTCTGGATAAAGTAGCGCTCATTTAGGTGCTTGCTTTTTTGGTTTACTTATCTTTGCCCAATGGAGTTGGCATTAGCAGGAGAATAAAAAGACCTACAGAGTCCATAATACTGGGTGTCCTGAACATTTTTAAATGTAATTTTTGTCAAGTTGCCTTGATTCATAACAATCTGTTTGAATGTCGTGGACAGTTTTTGTTCTTATCTCGATGAGGACCATTCTATGACAAAATTATGTTACACAGTCCTCAAAGCAAAATTAGACCCATTTTTGTCAAATCATAGCAGGCCATAAAAAATTACAATAAGCTGCCTTTAGTACAGAAAACAGGGCTACAAATAATGAAAAGGATCAACATCTCAACTTTTGGTTGAGGATCAGTGCAAGTAAATTCAAAAACAAAAAAAAAGGGTGAGACAAATATCACTCGGCAGTTTTATTCCGCTTTAACACGATAATAGCCGTTTTCGATATTTACTTAACCTTGGTCTCTCCTGCATTGTTTCCCGACTTACCTGCAGTTGGAGCGGGCCTAAGCCTGGTGTTGCCGCGGCAGCAGCTGCCATGGTAGTTGGGATCAGCTGAACAGGGTAAGGGTCACCTAAGTAAGAGAATAATAGAGGTGTCAGCACCTTTCATCTACTCTCCACCTGCAAATTAAACTCGTGCATTCACTCTTTCCAAAAGCCTTCTTTTGTGTGCCTTGCTGGGGCCTAATGAAAAGCTCTATTGTGCAGCCTTTTACTAACACTCTTTTCACAATTCTGGCTGAGAGAGGAATGTGAATAAAAGGCACAAGCAATTAAGGCGGAAACCTCATCCTTTTTTCATGATGTATTTAGGAAAATGGGAGGAAAAAGTGTGCATTGATCAGAGGGCTGCACACACACACACACACACACACACACACACACACCCCCTAACAGTCTTGATAGGAGCACACCAACTCTCAGCACATTTAATTGTTATTATAAAAGGAACTTAACTAAACTTAATTCTATTTTAACAAACTAAAGATTTAAGCCAAATAGCTTATCTTTTGAATGCAATGTTACTGTCTCAATTCAAATAGCCTCTTTAAATAATATCTTGTGGACAAATTCATAGCAAAGAAAACATTTTATGCATTTTTGTTATATAAAATACTGGAATCTTTATTATCCCAGAGATAAATGTTTATAAAAACATATTATAAAGAAAACAGAAAATAGATGGTTTCTCCCTGAAGGGTTTCTGTTTGTGGTGGTATCTGAAAAAACAAAATCTTAGTAATTCAAAATTAAAGTTTTAATACATGTGATCTATAAAGATATAGAAACACACACAAATATATATACATATAAACACATGTAGAAGATTATAGGGTATGTTTTTCATGCAAATTTTTTTCACTTAGTAAAGAAGTACATACGCTTTTTGTATAGAGCCCAATGATATGCTAACAGATATGTACATTATTAATATTTGAAATATGACCATAGTAAAAAATAAAAAAAGTTATAAGAACCATTTTCTAACATATAAAACAGATTGTTTTAGTAATCTAGTTTGTGAAAAACTTGTTCAGTGTAAATGTATGGAAAATATAACTGAAAATAACTCAGTTAATACAGTCATTCAAAAATATTTATTGAGGATCTGCTATGTATCAAGCACTGCTCTCGATACTAGAAATAGAGTTTTAAAGAAGACTAATATGCAGAGGTGTATTTACTGGATATTTAATGAAGCTTAAGATTTGGGGTTCTGGGAAAGGCCCCTAGCAGTATGTTCAAAGGATCGTACATTTTTATATTTATCAGCTTTTTTACTTTGTTGTGATTTCTTTTTATAAATGAAAATTCTTTCTTTCACTTCTGTGTGTGTTTTTGAAAATTATATATATATATATATATATATATATACTTAAAACAATGATTATAAATAGATAATTACACATATTCTTGAAGTGGCCCCCAAATTATATTTTTCATGCTTCAAAATATCTGAATCCACCACTGCTGATCTGCCTTCCCAGAACTTACAGCTTAATGGGAGAAAAAAATAAAGATAATTCAAAGATTAGTAGAAAATACAAAGACTGTTAAGTAAGATAGGGAAGTATATAACATTAGGCACTGCACTGTGGGTGTTCCAAACCTAGTCTAAGAGGTCAAAGGTGGTCTCCAGGAAGAAGTTATGTTGAAGCTGAAATCTGAATGAAGTGAAAGCTAGCCAAACAAAGAAGAAAAGGAAGAGCTTAAAAAAAAAAAAAAAGAAAAGAAAAGAAGAAAAAGCAAAAGCAAAGGAAGAGCTTTCCTGGAAGGAAAACAATTTTCATGAAGACTCGCAGTCAAAAGGGAGTGTTCTGTCATAGCCCCGCATTGCTGAAGTTTAGGGCACAGGTAAGGAAGTAGATGGGACTGGAGAGGGTATCAGGGGCCAGATTATGTATGACATTATAAACAAAGAATCTAAACTTTATTCTGTAGGATAAAGGAAACTATGAACATGGAAAAAGGATGAGCTAAGTAAAATCACTTAGCCTGGACGTTGGAAGCTGGAATCAATAATAAAAAGATGCACATCTCTGTACAACACAAAATAAATGGTCTGCACTAGCGTGATGCTGAGATGGAGAATGATGGGAAAAGTGAAGGGATAAAAAGAAGAGGAACGGACAAAACTTAATGATTGTTTACATATGAGAAAGTAAGAGAGGACTCAGGGATGACTTTCATGTTTTTCACTGCATTTAGCTTCTGAGTGGTACTGTTTGTTGGGTTTGCAGACATAAACGAGAAGCAAGATTACCAGGTTGGGCCTGGTGGGGAAGGGGGAGGAGGGGAAGGGGGCAAATAATTCTGTTTTGGACATTTTAAGTTTGAAATTATTATTAGATATCTGAGTAGAGATATTCTTTGAGGCACTTGGTAAACATGTCAGGATTTGAGGAGAGGAATTCACATCAGAGACATAAATTTGACAGTGGTCAGCATACATCTGGAATTTAAAGCTGTAAGTCCTCATGATACCATTTAGAAGTTAACTGTAGGTAAAATATATAGGCCCAAGGATTGGATTGTAGAATATGCTAATATTTATAGTCAGGGAGATAGGCAACTAGCAGAAAAATGGAGGAGAAATATAAATTTGATGTTCCAGAAGCCAAGTAAGGAAAGATTTTCAGAAAGTGATTTTTTTTCAAATGCTGGATTTAGTAATGTAGAAGTCATTGGTGACTTCAAAAAGGGCAATTTCAGTGGAGTGGAGGGTGAGAAAGCCTAACTGGAGTGAGTGTGATCAACAAAGGATGATTTGTTGTAAAATTGGAGGCAGAAAGTGCAGACCCTTGCTCTTCAAAGTGAAGTTCTTGAAGAATAGCATTGGTATCACCCAGGGGTTCCTTAGAAATGCAGAATGTAAGACCCCACCCCAAATCTACTTGGGCAGGCACCCTCTAAGATGGAACCCCCAATGACTCCTACTTTTCTCCTTGAATTTATGTCCTAGTGTAATCCCCTATCCTTGAACGGAAGCCAAAGTGTTGAGATATTAGGTTACATGAAGACTCTGGCTTTGTCTAGTTTATCTTCTCCCCATCCTTACCCTCTCTGTCTTGAACCAAGCAGTTGTGTTAAGAGGTGCCCTATGGAGACATTTGCCTAGCAAAGGAATGATGTCTTCAGTCAATAGCAAGTAATAAGGCCTGCCAACAACCAAAGGAGAAAGCTTGAAAGCAGATTCTCCCCCAGGTCAAGCCTAGAGATGACTACAGTCCAGGGCAACACCTTGATCACAACTCTGTGAAAGATCCTGAGCCACAGGTACCCAACATGGCTGTGTTCAAATAAATGTTTGTTGTTTTAAGCCACTACCTTTTGGGAGAATTTGTTAAAGCAGCAGGCATATACCTTCTGAATTAGAATTTAAATTTTAACAAGAGTCCCAGATGATTTGCACTCATTTGAGGGGTGCTGGAATAGACAATTCCACTGAGGTGTTTTGCAGTAATTATTGAAGGACAAGTAATTATTAAGGTCAAGAAAACCTTATTTAAAAGGTATCTACCTGTAAACATTATAGAATGCTTGTATGCCAACAAGAAAGATCCAATAAATAGAGAAAAAACTGTTGATATAGGAGAGAGTGGACAACTGACGGATGTTACAATGGATAAGGTTTTATTTAGCATTTAGCATTTTTAATATTTAATCTAGAAAACACTATCTGAATTTATAAAGTAAAGGGAAGTTTAGATGTATAAAAGCTGCATTTGTACTATGCAAAGTAGCCAAAATAACAAATATTAATGTATGACTATTAGAATAGGCAACTTAAATGCTAAAACTGTGTAATTTATTTATATTGCTCATTTAATCAATATAATCCTACAATTAACTATAGTAAAAGTATAGAGGCTATGGTGCTCTTCACAGTGATAATTCATTTTATATAATTTAGTTTCCCTGTTGTGAATTAATCAATAAATTAGCACTTATAACATCTACCATGTGACCAGAACTCTGCTGGGTTCTTTGGAAGACAAAACCAAACCAAACCAAACCAAACCAAACCAAACCAAAAGAAACCTTGGTCTCTATCTACTACACGTCCATCTTTTCTAATTAAGTGCTGCTTATTTGAGTAGTACTGAGCATCCATAAGTTCTATGGGAGTTAAGGGAGAACTAATTCCAGGCTTCAGTCTTTAGAGAATAAAGGTAAAAATAAGAATGAACTTGGACTTGAAGATTTGCAGATGAAGGGGGATAGATGTTTTAGGTAGGGTGAAACGCATCAAAACACATGTATGACATGCTGAGGGAATGGAGAGAAATCAGTTTACCTGATAGGTGACAGAATAAGGTAGAAGGAAAAGAGGCTGAAGTCAAGAAGCTGGGAAACTTTTCATATCCCAGACTGAAGGATATTTGGATACAACAAGGAAATTGATATGAAATGAAGTTTTAGCAAGTGTCATTAAAGAAGTTAGGTAATAGGGGGGTTTTAAAAATGACCCAATCTCTAACCTAAGTTGAGATTTTAACTAATGAACTTAAAATGAACACATACTCAATTTCTTACTAACCACTAGATGTTAGTAATTCAGAAGTGCCCAAAATACCTATGCAGGTGTTTGCTATCAATCCAAATGTGTGAATAAATCTGTGTTGTTCAAGGGTCAATTGTATACATATGAATGAATAACTATTACGTTATACACATCCTATATGTGTGGGTGTTAATGCATGTATATATATAAAACGTTTATACATATGAATGAATGACTATTCTGTTATACACATCCCATATTGTATTGTGGGCATAAATGCATGTATATACATAAAACATTTATACAAGCTAAATAATTTTATATATGTGTAATGGGCTGAGTTGTGCTCCCTCCCCCCAAATTTCCATGTTGAAGTACTAACCCCCAGTATCTCAGAATGCTACTGTATTTGAGGATAAGCCTTTAAGAGGTAATTAAAGTAAAACGAGGTCATTCAGGTGGGCCCTAATTCAGTGTGACTACTGTTCGTATTAGAGGAAGAGATTAGGACACAGACAACACAGAGGACAACCAAGTGAGGACAGGGGAGGAGAAGATGGCCATCTA